AGACCTTGGCCTCAAAGTGCGGGTTTGAGAACCAGAACCAGGCTCAAAGAACCAGATGGTTCCAATACAAACGCCGGCACACGGTCCCGTACCGTACCATACAGTACCGCCATCCAGTCCGTCCTCTGCAGACCTCCCAGCAAACCCACCCTCAACAACCCCAACAGCAGCGGAGGCAGCATCAGCAGCAGCGTTCGCGCTCTCGTCAGGCTTCAGGAGGCAACCAGGCCAGGCGCCGCATTTGACGCGCTGGCGGACGATACCGTTTGCAGTTCCGTTACCAATGTTGTTCCCATGTCCCTCCCAATGGTACCTGCCCTCATCCTTCCATCCGGCTCGACACCGTTCGGAGACCGCCTGACAAACTTTCTCCCTGCATGGGAAAATATCACCTCAGATGCATGGGTTTTAAAGATTGTCGACGAAGGCTATGCATTGGAGTTCGAAGAGCTCCCACCAACGGGACAGATTGTCGATACCGAGCCATCCTCGGCGATCCTGACAGTGGTCGATGCCTTGCTCCTGAAAGGGGCAATTTCCCCTCTCCCGGACTCTCAAAACCATCAAGCCTTCTTCTCCAGATACTTTACTGTCCCAAAGCCGGATGGCTCCCTTCGCCCCATCCTCGATCTCAGGGACTTAAACTCCTTCATCGAGCCTCGGAAGTTTCGGATGGTGACGGTATCGTCCATTCTCCCCTTCCTCAGATACGGGGACTTCTTCGCGTCCGTCGACCTCCGGGACGCTTATTTCCATCTTTCCATCAGAAAACATCACAGGCGCTTCCTGGCCTTCAGGGTAGCGGGACAGACGTACGTGTTCAACGTCCTCCCTTTCGGTCTCGTGACGGCACCGAGGACCTTCACAAAATGCATGTCGGTGGTCGCAGCGGCCCTCAGAAGGGAAAAAATCCGCATTTTTCCTTACTTAGACGACTGGTTGTTGGCAGCACGCTCCCCGGACCTTCTGCGAGCGCAGGTAGCAAGGACACTTTCTCTCCTCGAGGACCTGGGCCTCCAGTTAAACGAGGAGAAATCCCACCTCGAGCCCACCACTTGCATAAAGTTCATCGGCGCCATGTTCGATTCTCTCTCCCAGACAGTCTTCCTTCCGGAGGAGAGGTTCAGGGCTCTTCGAGCCGAAACACTCAAAGTCCGCCGCTCCCGTGTGGTCCCGGCGAAGCAGATACAAGTCCTCCTCGGACACATGGCTTCCACGGTGATGGTAACGCCATTGGCAAGACTCCGCTTCCGCCCCCTCCAGAGATGGTTCTTGGACCACTTCAACCCCATGCGGGACAGTGCCGCAAAGCGCCTGCTGATACCGAAGTCGGTAAAGGACTCTCTGAACTGGTGGATGAACCGCCAGCATGTCTGCAAGGGCATTCCCTTTCACCCAGAGCCCCCGGCCGTCACGATCACGACGGACGCTTCGATGTTCGCATGGGGATGCCATACAGGAGACCTCTCAGTACACGACCTCTGGTCTCCTCAGGAAAAACAGTTCCACATCAACTACTTGGAACTACTAGCAATCTTCAAGGCCCTGAGGGCGTTTGCCCTCCTGATCACGGGAAAGTCTGTCCAGATCCTCACGGACAACATGGTGGCAATGTTCTACGTGAACAAGCAGGGAGGAACGGGCTCGAGAAAACTTCTCAAGCTGTCACTAGAACTTTGGGACTGGTGTGTAGCCAGGTCGGTGTCGATAACAGCCTTACACCTCCCGGGCGAAGTCAATGTCGAGGCGGACGCACTGAGCAGAACCAAGGCGACATCCCACGAGTGGAGGTTGAACCCCGACGTCCTGGCGGAGATCTTCAGGGAATGGGGCCTCCCGGCCGCAGATCTCTTCGCGTCGCCGCAAAACGCTCAGCTTCCTCAGTTCGGTGCTCGACTTGCTCCGAACACGGTACCGGGATGTCTCGGAGACGCGTTCCTGTTGGACTGGTCGAAGCATCTGCTCTACCTCTTCCCTCCCTTCCCGCTCATCCCGAGGGTGATCGAGAGGATCCAGTTGGCGCAGACGAACTGCATCTTAGTAGCACCGGAATGGCCACGACAACCGTGGTTCTCGGTCCTGCTCCAACTGTCCGAGGGGCGGATGAAGCGTCTTCCACTTCGGCAGGATCTGCTCTCCCGGGAAGACGGTCAACTTCTCCACCCCGACCTTGCCTCTCTGCATCTTTCGGTGTGGAGGATCCGATGTTGAGATCCCTGTGTCCAGGAGTTCTTCAGATCCTAGAGGCAGCCCACAAGCCAGCGACCAAGAGGTGCTACTCGGCGTGTCTCGCCCGCTTCCAGGCCTTCCTCTCTGAGAAAGGCCTAGACGTTCATCGGCCTTCGGTACTGACAATTCTCTCGTTCTTGCTGCACCTTACCGAACGAGGTTTGTCGCTGTCGTCACTCAAGTCCCACTTGGCAGCCATATCGTGGCAACTTCAGCGGACGGGAGAGGCCTCCTTGTTTAGGGAGAGCTCTGTGAGGTCTTTCCTGCGAGGCTTCAACAACCTACATCCCCCGGTCCGTTCTCCGACTCCGGGTTGGGACCTCGACCTCGTGCTGGCTCGGCTCGCGCAACCGCCTTTCGAGCCATTGTCTTCAATTGAACTTCGGTTGTTGTCCTGGAAGGTGGCCTTCCTGGTCGCTATCACCTCGGCCCGCCGGCCGTCGGAACTGGCGGCATTGCGGGTGGACGAACCCTACTTCGTTGTCCACGAGGATAGAGCAGTTCTCCGCACAGATGTGACATTCCTTCCTAAGGTGGTATCCCCCTTCCATGTTAACGAAGACATTGTCCTTCCCTCGTTGTGTCAGTCCCCTTCTACCCCGAGGGAGAGGAGACTTCATATGCTCGATGTGCGGAGAGCATTGTTGTGTTATAGGAACAGGACTGCTCAGTCTCGACGGACACAGAGACTTTTTGTTGCATATGCCCTCGATAAACTGGGCCTGCCGATCACGGCGCAACGCTTGTCGCACTGGATCACATCGACCATCGAGCTTTGTTACCAACTGGCTCGACAACAACCCCCTTCGGTCGTCCGGGCTCGGTCGACCAGGGCTATGGCGGCATCGACAGCCTTTCTTAAGGGGATTCCCCTGGACGCTATTTGCAAAGCGGCCATTTGGAAGAATCCTCAGACATTTGTGTCGCATTATAGACTGAACACCAGGTATACACCTGACATGGCCTTTGGGAGGGCAGTTCTGGGCTCATGCCCGCCTTAAGCTTTGCAAAGTGTTCTATCGGTACCGAGTGTTCCTTCGATACCGTGTGTTACTGTGAATGTTATTACCATGTGTTACTTGAAGTTTTTTGCCGGTGAATGTAACTGCACCTTTACACTTGATGCCTTACTGCCTGAGGCGCAGGCAACCATTGCACTATGGCCTAATGGGCTCATCACGGGTATTCTATGTCTTTATTGATGGCTTTGCCTTGCATATGTATGGTGCACTTGTTAACAAGTTGTTTCTTGTATTACTATCTGATGTGCCCTCATTATAATGAGTGTCTTCGATAATCACCATGTGTTTATTTCAAGGGTCGAAAGTTTACTCAGTTGTTGGTCACCCTCACGTGACCGGGAGGATCACGTACTCCCATACGTTTATGCACTGTGCCCTTCTTTGGAAGTGATTACAACCTCTTGTTATGCATTGTGCCCTTCTTCGGAAGTGATTACACTCTCTTGGTGGTAACTGTTTTTGCACTTAATAAAATTGTTTGGCCCTTGACTTCAATGGTCGGTTTGCTTCCTTCCCGCCTCCGGGACCTGAGCTTGCTAGTCTCCACAAGTGTGCATTCGCAGAGACCACGAAGAAAAATGGTAGGTTACATACCTGTGACCATCTTTCTTCGAGTGGTGCTCTGCGAATTCACACTAACCCGCCCAGCCTCCCCTCTAGCAAACCTCCAATTTCTCACTACCGTAGCGGCGTAGGAATTGGATCGGTGTGCGCGGGGCGCCCTTTTATCCCCTGCCGGGGCTGGGCGGGGTTACCGCCAAAACTTCAAAAGTTTTAAAAAGTAGAAGTTTCCGTTGGAGCCCGCGCAGGCGCAGTCTCTCCACAAGTGTGAATTCGCAGAGCACCACTCGAAGAAAGATGGTCACAGGTATGTAACCTACCAATCCAAGGCAGCAAACACAATAGATCAAAACAAAGTACAAGTTTTCTGTAGCCCCAAAGACCCACGAAAGAAGATAAAGCAAGTACATCTATTCCTTGAATGACAAAAAAAAGAAGCTAGCACTGTTAATTAACAATTTGCTTTTGCTGAAGAGGGAAAGAAGCCAAGACTATATTGGGCACATTTGATATCTGTTTTACCCTCCAAAGGTATATAATTTTGTTTGCATCAAAAAAAAAATCAAATGCCTAGAGAAACTACTAATTTATTATTCGGAATATCTAGCCTTTTTTAGAGCTGGGCTGAGCTGGATTTGTTCATCTACAATTTCCATGAGACACTATAGTCAATGGTGAAGAATGTTGGGATTTGCAATCCACCAAATATCTGGAGGACCACATTTTGCTCACTTCTGATCTAGAACCTGAACTGAAATCTTTCAAATGCATTTTCACACAAGAACTTCTTTGAAAACATGTCCTTTGTTGACTATCTAGTGCAGGGAAGACGAATCCACATCCTCCAAGATGCTTTGGACTGCCACTCCCAGAAGCCCCAACCAACATGGCCAGTCATAAGCTTATGAGAGTTGCAATCCAAAACATCTGGAAGGCCAAAGTGTCCCCCCATCCCTCATCAAGAACATATGGAAAAGCAGAAGAATTTGAATATTCTTTATCCTTATGAATGGCATTAACTGAATTGGCCCATATACCATTTGAAAGCTACAAATTCAGTATAGACTTTTCTATATGTGCTGACCAAGAAATTAATGTAGTAAATGGGACAAGAACACAATTATGTGGGAAGCATGACATCAATCCAACAAGAGAAACCATTTAAAAGGCAATTTCCTTCTTCCTTACCTTTCTCACATGGTACCAGTCCCATTGAGCTAAAAGGCACATAAAGCACTTCACTGAACTCTCCATAAACTCCCTCTGTGATTTTTGCTTGGATTCGTATCTCATAATCACGGCATGTCTTCAAAGTGTACAATGGAAATGTTGTGCTATCCTTTGCTTCCCGCTGTAATAGTAAATGGAACATTCATCGGTTGACTGCTACTCATATACAAAAGCTTTTTCTAGAGAGTTCATACAAGAAATAAAAAAGAAATTGGTTAGAATTTGGATGTTTACGGATGCTAGTTAACTACAGAAACATAATTAACTATCAGGTGTGCGATACTGCTGATTTTCTATAATGACATGAATATATTTCTTGCAACACTAAATCAGATTATGGTATCTGTTGTATACATTTAATACAATCTATATGAATAGACTGTATTATCTTAAGTGCTGATATTCCTCACTGTTTCGCTGTTTCCTTTCTGTGGATCATCCTAAAGGAACCCATGATTCCTTACTGGCCAAGAGGCACAAAGTTTCAGAACATGTGATACACTGGTCTAATACCATGGGAACCAGTGACAGCCTTCGGGGGCATTTACACAGTAGAAGTAATGTAGTTTGACACCACTTTGGTTGCTATAGCTCAGTGTTATGGAATCACGCAACTGTAATTTTAAAAGATCTGCCAAAGAGTGCCGGTGCCTCACCAAACTATAATTCCCAAGATTCCATAGTATGGAGCCATGCCAATTAAAGTGGTGTCAAACTGAATTAATTCTACAGATGCACCTTCCATATCACTGATGGTCAATCTGTTCCAGGCTTTCATCCACTCTAGGCTTTAAAGTAGCTATCCAAGAAGCTAAATCTATTTGGAGAATAAGGATTAGGTAAGTTTGGATGGTTCCTTTCAAACTAGGGGGGGAAATGCTCCAGTTTACATCTGTGCTAACCCTCCCAATGGTGTTGCACTGGGAAGCTATCCAAAACATAGAAATGACAACTTAATCCCTATGAACACTTCCCCAGCTTTACACAGTTTGTGTAGAATCTCAGTACTACTGAATAATTTGCTGTCATTTGTAAACCTTGCTCCCTCATTATTCATTCCAATTCCCAGCTGTTCTAAATGAATAAAATCAAGCCAGAATTGCAAGATAGACAATATGTAAACTGCTTGTTAGTTACTTATTTCAGGCCTAAACCCATGGTTGAGTTTGGGTGGCATCGCTAGCTCTTAAATTTGTTTTCAAACTTATCTTCCATGGCTCCAGTGTTATTTTAATTTTTTGCTTTTCAAAGCCTAAAATAAGTCCTTTATGAATTTGGAGTCATGCTAATATACTTTGGAAAGAGAGCAGCTCCCTTGCTGGTCATGGCTATTCTGGGCTAATTGAACATATGAAACCACGCAGAGTTTACATTTTATATAACGAATACTAAAACAAACCATAATCTCAGTAATTATGTTTCAATTCAAAAGGAAAAATCATTTGAATTAAAACTACATGTCAAGTAAGTAATTTTAAAGAATGAAGCCAATTATGATTAATGTGGCCATAATAAAAGCTACTCCTGAAAACTTAAAAGAAAGGAAAGAAGGAGAGTGAGGTAGTAATTATTGTAGCACAGTAGACATTTTAAAATTATCAAAATGAAAGCTAACAGTAAAGTTAATATTTTTTCTGCTGAGATAAAGGAATGTGGAATGAGTTGTTTCTAGGGGAAGTTTATTGTGCATCAAATGCATCAGTGTGCACTAATTAAACAGAGCATCCAGACTGAGAGAAAACTTCCAGATATTGTTCCTATTGTGTTGTCAAAGGCTTGATTGATTGTCAAAGACAAGAATCAATCAGGGCCAACTAACACATCCAAATAAATTGATCCCCCAGGCAGCAATCAGCTAGGCTTTGAAGCTATAAGACCATTAAAGGCTAATCAAGGTGGCCAATTGAAACATTCACGCCTGCCTCAAGCAGACAAGAGTTCTTTTTCCACCCCGAACATTCCACATATACAGTATATTAACCCAACTTGCCTAGTTTCTAACAGACCTCACAACCTCTGAGGATGCCTGCCATAGATGTGGGCGAAATGTCAGGAGAGAATGCTTCTGGAACATGGTCATACAAATTTATGCTAGGTTAAAATAAACCAACTTGGAGAGTTGGTATTAAATTAGTCTGATTAGATCAAAAACTGATCTTGTGGGACAAACAAAACAAAATAAAAAGAACAGGAACAAGATTTGGGACTTTCATAAGTCTGGATACACACAATGATCCCTTCCACACTGCCCCTATATTCCAGAATCTGGTCCCAGATTATCTGATTATCCCAGATTATCTGGTAGTGGAGACTCATGTAATCCAGTTTAAAGCAGATCATCTGGGATCAGAACCTGGGATATAAGGCAGTGCAGAAGGGGCCTCTGTTCCTAAGCAAGTGCTATATTTATCAATGGCTGCTCCTAGGCCATCAAATTTCCTTCCGAAGGAAGTTTGTTTGAGTCCTTGTGTGCCCTCTTTTTGCTTGCAAACCAAAACCTTCTTAAGCCTTTAGCCTTTAACTAATTGTGGTAGATGAATGTGCAATGGGAATGCTGTTCTTAATATGTATTATTATTATTATTATCTTTATTTATACCCCGTAAAATATCCCGAAGGACTCGATGTGGCTTACAAAGGCCGAGGCCGCCGACAAGAACAACATACAATACACAGTAAAACTCATAAGCAAATAATAAAACATCAAGCAACAGTAAAACAATGACACCGTGGTGCAATTAAAAACCTAGGGGCCGGGCCAAATGTAATGGACAAAAATTTAAAAGTGCTGAGCCTGACAGGTAATATATAGAGGTATTTGGCGGTAGGTGCTATGTGCAGATAATCCTGAATCTCTAACAAAGTGCGTTTGGGACTTGAAGCCAGGAGTTTCCTATTCTGGGAAGGCACACTGGAACAGCCAGGTCTTCAGGCTCTTCCTAAAGACAGCCAACGTTGGGGCCTGTCTGATGTCTTTAGGGAGAGAGTTCCAGAGTCGGGGGCTACTACAGAGAAGGCCCTGTCCCTCGTCCCCACCAAACGCACCTGCGACGCAGGTGGGATCGTGAGCAGGGCCTCTCCAGATGATCGGAGGGAGCGTGCGGGTTCGTAAACGGAGATGCGGTCACGCAGGTAGGCAGGTCCCAAACCGTTTAGGGCTTTGTAGGTGAGTACCTGCACCTTGAATTGGGAAAAATGAACGGCAGCCAATGAAGCTCCTTGAACAGGAGGGTTGACCTCTCTCTGTAAGGAGCACCAGTTAACATCCTGGCTGCCACCCACTGGACTAGCTGAATTTTCCGAGCCGTTTTCAAGGGCAGCCCCACGTAGAGCGCATTACAGTAGTCCAATCTAGAGGTGACCAAGGCATGGATCAGCCTTCGTGAGGTATGGTCGCAGTTGGAGCACAAGTCTCAATTGTGCAAAAGCCCTCCCAGACACCGCCGATGCCTGAGCCTCAAGCGTAAGTGATGAATCCAAGAGGACTCTCAAACTGCGGACCTGTGACTTCAGGGGGAGTGCAACCCCGTCCAGCACAGGTTGCCACCCAATACCCCGATCCGGTTTACGATCGACCAGGAGGACCTCTGTCTTGTCGAGATTAATCTTCAGCTTGTTCGTCCTCATCCACACAGCCACAGCGGCCAGCACTCATCCAGCACTCGAGGGGCTTCCTTGGAATTGGGTGGAAATGAGTAGTACAGTTCTGTGTCATCTGCATAGAAATGGCACCTAACTCCAAAACTCCAGATGACCCTCTCCCAGCGGTTTCATGTAGATGTTAAAAAGCATGGGAAATAAAATAGAGCCTTGCGGGACCCCACAGGTCAAAGGCCAGGGGTCCAAGCAGGCATCTCCCAGCTTCACCATCTGGGATCGGCCCTCCAGGAAGGACCAGAGCCAGGACAAAACCGTGCCCCCCAAGACCCATCCCAGAGAGCCGTCCCAGAAGGATACCATGATCGATGGTATCAAAAGCCGCTGAGATGTCCAAGAGGACCAACAGGTCACACTCCCCCTGTCAAGCTCTCTATGGAGGTCATCCACCAAGGCGACCAAAGCTGTCTCAGTGCCGTGGCCAGGCCTGAAACCAGACTGTGACTGGTCCAGGTAATTGATGTCATCTAGAAAACCCTGGAGCTGGGAGGTGACCACTCGCTCCAACACCTTGCCCAGAAAAGGGAGGTTGGAGATTGGTCTATAGTTGTTCAGCACCGTGGAGTCAAGGGAGACCTTTTTAAGAAGTGGATGAACCACAGCCTGTTTTAGTCGAGATGGAAAAAAACCCTGCTCCAATGATGCATTAATGATCAACACAAACCAATCAGTCAACCCATCCCTGGCCGATTTAATTAGCCAAGACGGGCAAGGGTCTAAAGCCGATGTGGTCGCCCTCACAGCACCAAGGACCTCCTCCACGGTCTCAGGAAGAACAAACCTAAAAGAATCCCACAAAATCGGACAAGCAGATGCCTCAGTCACCTCCCCTGGCACTGTGATGAAATTGGAGTCCAGCTCAAGGCGTATCTGAGCAACTTTGCCTGAAAAATGATGTGCTAACTCGCGACACCGAGTTGTTGGGTCATCGAAGGTCTCCACCGCAGGTGGATGAAGGAGTTCCCCGACAACCCGAAACAGCTCTGATGGTCTATTTGCTGCAGACGCTTTACAGGCAGTCATGAAATACTCCATGGCTACCCGTATAGCCACGGTATACGCCCTAAGGGAGGCTGTAGCCCATGCTTGGTCAGACACATCTCGAGATTTCCTCCAAATGCGCTCTAGCCGCCTTCTCGTGTGTTTCATCACAGCCAACTCCTCAGTAAACCAGGGAGATGGTGTGTCTCGACGCAACGAGATGGGGCGTTCGGGAGTGATCGTATCTATCGCCCTTGTCATCTCCCTGTTACAGTGATCGACCAAGGCGTCGACAGGATTGCCAGGCTCCATGGCAGGAAGAACCCCAAGATTCCTCAGGAATCCATCCGGATCCATCAGTCTCCTGGGGCGGACCATCTTAATTTGTCCTCCACCCCTGCGGAGGTTAGCGGTTGCAGACAGTCTAAAACTGATCAGATAATGGTCAGACCATGACAAAGGAAGGATGTTTTGTTCTTCCACTCTGACCCTTACACTGTCTGCCACAAAAACTAGGTCGAGTGTATGTCCAGCCTGGTGGGTGGGTCCAGGTATAATTTGTGAAAGCCCCATGGTCGTCATTTATTTATTTATTTATTTATTTATTTATTTATTTCGTATACTTCTACCCCACCCTTCTCAACCCCCGAGGGGGGACTCAGGGCGGCTTACAAAATGGCACAATTCGATGCCTACACAATAATACAAAAAACGTATAAAAACAGCAGTTAAACGGTTAAACAATTAACACAACAATATGTATCTCAAGCACAGCGTTCGCCAACTCAAGAGTCCATACTTCGTTCCACATTGTCTATTCCTATCCGTCGTCACAGTCCTTTATTTATCTGCCAGATTGCCCAAACGCCTGATCCCACATCCATGTTTTTAATTTCTTTCTGAAGGAAAGGAGGGATGTCGCTGATCTAAATTCCCTGGGGGGTGAATTCCATAGGTGAGGGGCCACCACTGAGAAGGCCCTGCTCCTCGTCCCCGCCAACCTCACTTGTGACAGAGGCGGGGCCGAGAGCAGGGCCTCCCCAGAGGATCTTAAACTCCGAGGTGGGACATAGAGGGAGATGCGTTCGGACAGATACGTTGGGCCAGAACCGTATAGGGTTTTGTAGGTCAAAACCAGCACTTTGAATTGTGCTCGGAACTGGATCGGCAGCCAGTGAAGCTGACACAACAGGGGGGTGGTATGCTCCCTGTATGACACTCCGGTGAGCAATCTGGCTGCCTCCCGCTGGACTAATTGAAGGTTCCGAACAGTCTTCAAAGGCAACCCCACGTAGAGTGCGTTGCAGTAATCTATCCGGGATGTAATAAGGGTGTGGACCACTGTGGCCAGATCCGACTTCCCAAGGTACGGGCGCAGCTGACGCACAAGTTTTAATTGTGCAAAAGCTCTCCCGGCCACCGCTGAGACCTGAGGTTCCAGGCTTAGCGATGAGTCCAGGATCACTCCCAAGCTGCGAACCTGCGTCTTCAGGGGGAGTGTAACTCCGTCTAACACAGGCTGTAACCCTATGCCCTGTTCAGCCTTACGACTGACCAGTAGGACCTCTGTCTTGTCTGGATTCAATTTCAATTTGTTAGCTCTCATCCAGTCCGACACAGCAGCCAAGCACTGGTTCAAGGTCTGAACAGCCTCCTTGGTGACAGGTGAGAAGAAGTGACAGATTTGGACATCATCTGCATAGAGATAACATCTCATTCCGAAACTCCGAATGATCTCCCCCAGCAGCTTCATGTAGATGTTAAATAACATCGGGGACAAGATTGAACCCTGTGGGACTCCACACAACAACGGTTGTGGGGCCGAACAGGTGTCACCCAGTAACACCTTCTGGGACCGTCCCTCAAGGAAGGATCGAAGCCACCGCAGAGCAGTGCCTCCGAGCCCCATGTCCATGGGGCGCCCCAGAAGGATACCGTGATCGACGGTATCGAAGGCCGCTGAGAGGTCCAGCAAAACTAACAGGGACACACTCCCCCTGTCCATTTCCCGGTGAAGATCATCTACCAAGGCGACCAAGGCTGTCTCAGTTCCATGTCCCGGCCTAAAGCCAGACTGTGCCGGATCTAGATATGGCGGCCATGAAGTCTTGAGCCGCACCAGTCAAAGAGGTCTCAGCGTGGATGTTAAAATCTCCCAGCACAACCAAGTGCTGGGAGATCAAAGCCGAATTGGAGACTATATCTGCTAGCTCAGGCAGGGAAACTGCCGAGCCGCGGGGTGGGCGGTATACCAGCAGAAACCCCAAGCTTTCACGATTCCCCACCCTCAGGTGGACACACTCGAACCCAGATGATTGCGGAACAGAACATCTGGCCACGGTGATGGATAGCCGAAAGACTACTGCGACCCCTCCTCCCCGCCCCCAAGCCTGGCCTGCCGGTGCAGCCTGAATCCCGGTGGGCACAGCTGAATGAGATTAACCCCACCCAACTCGTCCAACCAGGTCTCAGTGATGCAAGCTAGATCCGCCTCCTCATCCAGGATCAGGTCCTGGATGGCTGCGATCTTCCCATTGACAGATCTGGCATTTACCAGCAGAACCTTAAGGCCAGGGGGTCTGTCATGGAGTCTACCACTTCCTACCTTCTCCAGGGTCGCAAGAACTCCGTTGCGCTTCTCCCTGGGCCATTGGTGACCAGCAATTCTCCTCCCCCACACAACCTGAATGGTGCCCCCCTCCTCCGGAACCCCTCCTCCCCCTACGTGACTAGAATCTACAGTTAGTCAACTCTCCGAGGAAGTGGGGCTGGGATATAGCTTCCCTTGGATGACCTGTAGGGATGTATCCCAAGACAGGGTGGAGAGGGAATCGTCAAGGGAGCTGAGTGGGCTGAAAATGGGGAGTGTTCTTGGGCGGGAGAGTGTGGCCGATTGTGTAGGGACAACTGGGACAGATGGAGTTTCGAATTGATACAATCCAGGTGAGGAGGCCCTAACCGGGGAGCTAATTGTGGATTTTTCACAGGGACCTGGTGGAACAGAGCGAGAAGGTACCACTGTGTGAACTAGGGGGCGAACATGAGGGTCCACAAACACCCTTCTGATGGTAATGCCCCATTCCTTTAGGCAAGATCGAATTGCAAACAGCCCGCCAAGCCATAAGTTGTCTTCTGGTGTAATTAAAAGACAATATGTACTTGTTATGAAGACAGCCAGTGAGGTGGTTTGGGCATGTAATGATGACTGTAGAGAACAGGGTTTGAATCCCTGCTCGGCCATGGAGTGGAGGCGTGCTAGAAGACTCTGGGCAAGTCACACTCTTCAGTCTCTGACTTCATCTTGCCATGTAATACAGTTTCAGACTGCAGATTAACTGCGTTGAACTGGATTATATGGCAGTTTAGACTCATATAACCCAGTTCAATGTAGCTCATTCTGCATTATATGGCAGTGTAGATGGGTCCTTAGAGGAAAACCACCCTCTGAACAAATCCTGCCAAGAAAGCCCTGCGATGGCAGGATGGGGTTACCATCGTAAATGACTTGAAAGCACACAACAAAAAACATTACTTTTGATTACCATCTTAAAAGTAATGTTTGAATTCAATTGATTGTTACATGCTATTAAAATCTTTGTGCCATGTATTGTTTTACCGACTTTTTTCTAACGTATATTGCAAACTGCGTAGAGTCTCATTTTGGGAGAAAGCAGGATATAAGTAAAGTAAACCAAAAGAGAATAAATTGCTGCACCTGGAATTTCTATTTTGGCCAGAAAAACACCAGCCCAGGGATCCTGGGATGTCAACAACCACAAAAGCATCTCTGAGTGTCATGGCTGCAATTTTTCCTTGTCTAGTCAACAGTCTCTATAATAGCTTGGTGAACAGGAGGGGGCACTGTTGATGTAGCTACAGTTCAAGTCCCCAGTTAGTACCATAGCAATCCTGGATAACAATTTGGGACGTTCTTGGCTCAATGAGAGTGCAAAACTTCAAAGAGGGTTCCCCATATATATAGTAAAGGTAAAGGTATTCCCCTGACATTAAGTCCAGTTGTGTCTGACTTTGGGGTTTGGTGCTCATCTCCATTTCTAAGCTGAAGAGCCGGCGTTGTCCGTAGACAACTCCAAGGTCTTGTAGCCGGCATGACTGCATGGAGTGCTGTTACCTTCTCACCAGAGCAGTACCTATTGATCTACTCACATTTGCATGTTTTCAAACTGCTAGGTTGGCAGAAGCTGGGGCTAACAGCGGGAGCTCACACCACTCCCCGGATTCGAATCTGTGACCTTTTCGTTAGAGTTCAGCAGCTCAGCAGTTTAACCCACTGTGCCACTGGGGACTCCTCCCCTTATATATACCTCAATCCATTTTGCCTCATTGACTTCTTTGTACTGGAGGTGGTAGTTGAGTGTGATCCATCCGCTATTGACATCTACAAAAGGTGGAGGCTTCCAGGTGACTAGGATATCGGTATAGTTGTCTATTGGCCTGGTGTTCAGCATAGTCCAGTTGAGTCCAACAGGAGGGTCTGGTATCACTGTGCCACCAAAGAATAAATGAAAGAGAATTCAATATCCATTTTAACCTATAGCCATTACCACACCACCCGTCCTCAAGGAACATGTCTAGGGGAGTGCAATTTTTTCCAAAGCTTCAAACTAGTTGCTTTTTTGTATTGGGGATGTAAAGACATTTGAAAAGTGATGCAATAGTGGGAGGAGAGTATAATGTTTTCCAGTTACTTTCTAATGTCATTTTAAAGACAAAAAAATGTATAGGAATTTTAAAAGTCTTATTCCATCCTCTTATCAATTGTAAATGTTCCAACATGCAAGAAAATTCCCCAAAAGTAACAAGTAACCCCAAAAAGGTACTTTTAAAACACTGCAATGATATAATAAAACATTTGTTACTTGAAATATTTTTAAAGAAGACATGCAAATGGCTAAATTTGAGACTGCTGTCACATAAAGCATGTGCTTTGCTCCCTCCCTCCCTGTGGCCCTTTACCAAAACACACAACATCTTACAGTTTATGTTTCATAGATTTTTATAGCATTTAACAATGGTTGAGACAAGGAACATTAACTTTGTGTTTAAAAGAAAGGGCACTAGTTGGCCCATAAAAAGTCCAGGTTTTGGTTTTCCCAAGCTGGGGTTTGAATTCAGCTGGGTTCATAAAAATGGAGAATCAGTCACAATTCTCAGAACCACCCATGTGTCCATTAGAAGAAAGACAGCTAGCAGTTGGGAGGTAGAATGATATACTAATAAAAGGTTGGACATGTCTGAAGAAATACACTTTATTTATTTTTAAATCAAAGGGCGGGTGCTGGAAGTAGAGAAAACACAAATAGTACAATATTAATGGGAACTGGTGGATGTGACAATGTGCATTTTTGAGTTTGAGACTGCAAAAAATATAGAAAATTGAGAAGTGGGGTGGCAGTTGCATTCGAGGTGAGAAAAACAGGACTCTTTCCTTATTTTCAAATGAGTGTGGAGAGACAGAACAGTCCTGCTTTCACATGTAATACTCTTTTCATCTTCAGAGTAACATATAAGACAAGAACTCCAAACACTCATGGTTACAGTGCTATAAAAGAAGCAGACTAAATAACTATTGGAAGTATACCTATCTCCTCCACATTCAGACATTTTTCATCATACATCTGGGTTTTGTCAGTCAGCTTGATACAGTATGGAACCCAAATGGAAGTGTAGCTTGTGTTGAAATAACAACTGTTTTCACCAGAAGTTACATAATCAGGACATTCTTTCCACCCAGCCGGCCTAGAATGATAGGAAAATAATTCAGGATTAAATAAGCAAGACACACAAATACTATGAACATCCTCAGTGGCTATTGAACATCCTCAGTGGAGTTATTGTTTTGTTGATGAAGAGTTGATTGATTTAAGAAGAGTTTTCCTGTCCCTGATCTGATAGGAGAAGTTTGCTTTGTGATCTGGATAAAGGAAGACGGAGCTGGGCAGAAGACTCCCTGCTGAGAAGTCTGGCCCACATTGTTTGTAATAATCAAAACTAGTCCTTGGGAAGCATCCATTGATTAGACCAACTCAGAAAATCAATAGAAAACTTCCTTTGTTATTGTCCATGCAAACGTCTGTAGAATGTTGGTTTTGTGGGGGCAACAGCCCCCCTCGGGCACTGGTTTGTTTCCTAGTCGCCTTTCTAAGGTTGGGCAAGGGGCCAAGGGTAAAGCAAAAGGGCAAAAGATATTTCATAGGAAGATACATACATTCAAATCATAAACATTTCATAGCAACAAAAAACCCCATCTTTGTCCCACATCCCAAGTATATTTAATAAAAGAATTAATTTTATTCGGAGGCTTTGAGTCCAGTGTTTCTGAAGAAAGTTCATGGGGAAATGGTGTTTCCTGAAGTTCCAAACAGGCAACAGAAAGTCCTTGATCTTTGCAAAGGCTGGCAGATGGAACTCTGGCCGTGCTGCCATGGATTCACACTTTGGTCCTTGGGCGTAGGGATCCAAAATAAGAAAAGCGATATAGCAGGTAGGTTTAGAATATAGTACAGAAAAATATGACATTAAAATGGAGCCGATCTGCCATTTTATGATTTCATGGATACCGAGATCCGAAAGGAGAAACTCCGTATCCGCGGTTTCAAACAATGCAGATCCGGCATCCCCGGAACGCCAGGGAAGCATTCCGGGCAGGCTCGCGGTTCCCCGGAGCCTGGAAAAGGTTATTTTCATGCAAGTTGATAGTTCAGGCAGGGAGAGACACAAAGTATCAAGCGGAAAAGTTAAAAGTTGCAATTTCAAGTACTTTTATTAGGGGAATAGCTACAATGTTAGGGCTTGGGGGAAAGTGATAGAAAGGCACAGAGGCTGAGTGCAGTCCTAGTTTGAGCTGTCTGTTGGGGCACATTTCATCAGTTTGTCCCAATTGTGACTTCTAGGAACTGCGGAACTCTCCGCTGCAGGTCAAACCAACTTGAAGGCGGGGGCCTCCGCTGCCCTCGATGACACATCCTTTTTCTTAATTATGACTTGTTTGTAACTCAGGGACTGCCTGTAATTGTATTTACCTCTTTTTGAGTAGAAAAAAACCTAATTTTTAATGGCATGAATTAAATATGCTCATAAACATATGTTGGTCAAATAGTTATTGATGGATAAGAAGGAATGCTGGAGGGGAGGCGTCAAAAGGAGGTTTATATGTGTAAGATTTGGTACTCTGATATTTCTTGAAATAAATCCTTACTTAAAATTAGGTTAACATTAAGATAGCAAATAGCAATAAAGTCTAACAACAGCAATGGAGGCATCATAACCATGGGTTGTTATGATTTTATCAAGGCTGTTTCCATGTTGTTCCCATCACTAAAATATGGCTGCAAAAATATCTTACAGCTAGTGAAGTAAGATTCTTCTTGAGGAACCTACCATGCATTTATTATCCAAATACTAGAAGTTGATTTTAAGAACTGCTATATCACACAGATTCATTTATGAAATAACACTTAATGTTTACTTGTCTTCACCTAGGTGTTTATTTATGGGGGAGTAATAAAAAATGATGTTTGCAATGTCAAGCACATAATTGATTTTTCCATACCTTTTTTTATACAGCAGGTGTAATGTTCCTGGAGTCGTGAAATTAGGAAAATTGCCAACAGTCCAATAGCACGAAAATGTTTCCATTTCAGGGGATCGGCATTTAACAATCTGTGGTTTCTCTGGTGGAACTGTAGAGAAGAGAAGTGCAAGGATGAGAGTAATTTCAGAGAGATAAAATACAGGTACACCTCATTTCACAAATACACCTATCTATTTGTGGGCATTACTTCTTTAACGTACAATTTGGTAACAGAAGCAGAAATAACCTGAAAAGAATAGGAATAACTTCCTTTTTTTTTTTTTACTTTTTTTTTTTAATTGTCTCTCTTGTTTTTTATTTTCTCACATTGTCCAGATAGTCTTGAAGATCGTCCCAATTCGTTCTTTTCATTATCTTTTTCTTTTTTTTTTTTTATTGATTTATCACTTTATTACATACTATTACATTTTGTACATCAACCTCTTTAACATGTTATTTTATTATTTTACTCTGACATTTCTCCCCCTTTTTCTCATTTTTTCCCCCCTTTTTCCACCACAGTGCTCCCCTCCACCCATTTCAAGCCACCCTTCTTACATTTCATCTGTCCAAAATTTCATTTCTTCTTGTGACGGTAATTTTCCTTCCTTATTTTTTAATCCATTTACCACAAATCTTCCCCATACAGCATCAAAATCGCTTTGTTTCCATATACCTTTTTTAACCTTTAATATACATGTCAATTTATCGTTTATTGCTATTTTCCATGCTTCTTTATACCACTCCTCTATTTGTATATTCATTTCTTTTTTCCAATTCCTTGCTATAAGCAGTCTTGCTATAGTTAGTAAGTTTGTTATCGCTTCTTTATCCTCCTTTTTCAATTGCTTATCGTTATATAGTGATAGTAATGCTATACTAGGACTTTTATCTAATTTTATATTCATTATATTTTCTATTTCTCTAAATACTCTCCCCCAAAAATTATTTACATATTTACATTGCCACCACATGTGTATATATGTTCCTGGTTCTTGACACCCTCTCCAACAATTTATTGAGTTATTTTTATTCATATATGCTATTCTTACCGGTGTCAAGAACCACTTCCATATTAACTTGTAATAATTTTCTTTAACTCGTATCGATAAATTTTTTAAATGTCTTTGTCCCCATAATTGTTGCCACTCTATTTCGCTTATTTTTATCCCTAAATCTTCTTCCCAAATCTCTTTAAGGGTGCACTTTTTTGTTTTTTCATCTTTCATTTCAATTAATATCTTATAAATTTTGCTAATTATACCTCTCATTTCACAAATACACCTATCTGTTCGTGGGCATTACTTCTTTAACATACAATTTGGTAACAGAAGCAGAAATAACCTGAAAAGAATAGGAATAACTTCCAATGCCATAAAAATGTGCAGTAGTTCAACATATTTATAAAAAAATACATCCAGATATTCTGGAGGCAGCTGCTGTTTACCTTTGTCTATTTTATATTAAATTGTTTTAGGAGTTCACCCTGGTGGAAAGAAAACTATTTAAAAATAATAAATGCACATGTAATAAGTAAGTAATTGTGTAATAAATAAGCAAGGGAATGAAAAAATAAGCATTGGGGATTAAACTAAAAATATTTATTATGTATTTATTTACTTTACTTGTATACCGCAGTTTCTCAGCCCAACAGGCGACTCAACGCGGTTTACAACAAGAATAAACATCAATCAACGATATACAATTTAAAACCATAAGAGCATAATATACAATATTGACACAACAATAAACAACACAATGCATCTCATAACTAGAGTCGTGATCCAATTCGTCGTCCATATTTCCATTCCTGTAATCATCACATTCATTGCACTGATTAACCGAATGCCCGTTCAAACATCCAAGTTTTTAATCTTCTTCGGAACACCATTAGCGAGGGGGCTGATCTTACCTCCATGGGAAGGGCGTTCCACAGCCGAGGGGCCACCACAGAAAAGGCCCTGTCTCTCGTCCCCGCCAGCCGCACCTGTGAAGCAGGCGGGATAGAGAGCAGGGCCTCCCCAGAAGATCTTAGGGTCCTGGCGGGCTGATAGGCAGAGATACGTTCGGATAGGTAGCTTGGGCCAGAACCGTAGAGGAGGTCACCTTGCCAAATTTCTATTTATACATTCAATATTCAACTTGCTGTTTCCAAATGTATCCCTGTGGATACACAGTTGTTTCCAGGCACACAGTTCAGGAGTTCTCAGTTACTCTCTTCTATGCCGCTACAATCAAAGGCCATTAAAATCACAGACACTTTATGCATTCCCTTCTCTGCTAACAGATTTAAGTTAAAATGTGTGTGTGTGTGGGGGGGGGGGCTTTACCTTGTACCCATTGATTTCAAACACTTTATGAACATAATGGATTGGTTCTGTTAACTCTGGAACTACTCAATTCTTTCAACAAGACTCAAAATCAATAGGGTCACTGCAATAATGACAGAAAAGATGTCCTCAATTTTTAATTATAGTCTACCCATTATGTAATTTCGATGTAACCCATAATTTGGGAATACACATAGGCACTTTAGTTTTATATTACTTTAAACAAAATAATATGAGATTCAACATATGTGTGGCTTTACATAATAGTCATCATTGCATTGGTGAAAAAACTAGGTACAGATATAGTCTGATATCTTATGGTATAATGTTTCATAAATCTTAAGACGTGTGTCTTATAAAGACCTGAATATTTCAATAGAATTGACAATAAATTTCCAAGGTTCTTGTTATGATTGTAGGGTCAATTCACTGGGAATGTGTGCTTAAGTCCAGCACTTTCCAAAGGAGCATCTGAAAAGTGTCCTCATGTTACAATATCTATTGCAGATACTATATTTGGCATACAGCGATGTGTTCACCTCCTATGCTTATTTGTAAACAAATCACCCTGATTTCCTAATCTCATCATTCAGCTTCTACAGGATTTAAGGTGTGCTTTTCCAGTCCAAATCAAGAAAGATAGCATTACCACAATAGTTGTACTTTGGGTATATCATGAGAAGACATATCACACTAGAAAAGACAAAAATGCTTTGCAAGGTAGAAGGCAGTAGGCAAGAGAGGAAGGCTGTATCTGAGATGGATAGACTCAATCAAGGAAACCACAGCCCTGAGTCTGCAAGGCAGTTGATGACAGGTTGACTTGGAGGTTTCTATTTCATAAGGTTGTCATGAATTGAACTTGAGTTTGTGGCAGTTAACAACAATAATCATTTCCATTACAGACTGTTGACCAAAGGGAGGAGCAGTTGTCCCACAGAAAGAACTTTTGGGTCTCCCAGGAATGAACAGAACCAGTACTACCAATCCCCATCACTGATTTGATGATTCAATGACTGGTGTTTGGGACCATCATCACATAATTCTTGCACATTAACTGTATTGGCAATAACTTCTGGAAGTTGAAATCCAAACCATTTGGAAGACCAAAGTTAAGAACCTTTGGGCTAGAAGGTAAATATCACTGTGGAAACCTCTGCCTTCATTTTTAGCCCTTTTGGTTGGACAACAATGCTACAAATCACAGTAAAAAACATATTGCTTGATTGTTTCAGGTTGCTATGAAATTTTACACATAGTTCTTGTATATTTCATTTTCAGTGACCCACACCTCTGCAATCTGCCTGTGATGATGATGTAATGTATATAACACCATATGAATATGTGATGCTTCACAAAAGCCATAGGTCTCTGTCCAAATATTTTTCAATCTAAAATTAAATGCAAAAGATAAACAACAAGAAGAGGAAGAAAGTAGAAAAAGAGGTAAAAAAAGAAGAATATCCGGTTGTTTTAGTGGTATGTGGAATACATATATCCAGGCATGTAGCCGGGGGGGGGGGGGGGGCTCGGGGGGCTTCAGCCCCCCCGC